TATTTACCTTCTCTGATTAAATGAGAAACCAGGAGGATAAAAAGGGGTTTGCTGTGTGGCAGAGTTTATGTTTTGGTGCATTTTCTCCAGGTTCTCTGTTGCTTCAGAGGAATGGTTCAGCCAAGGTGATGGTTGAATGGGACAAAAGAGGAGACGAGCTCAAAGCATCTCCAAGTGGAGCAGAGCAGCTATGCTTTTCCGACTAGCTTCTCGGTTTCTGCCTGAGCAAAGCAGCAGAGCATGATGCTGCCATGGCCGCCATGTTTTACTGCAGGGAGACAGGATGATGTACACAGTCGGCTTTCCGACACAAATAGCCTCTTCCAGGCAAAATACTCAGTCCTCTACATCAGCGGTCCCCAACCACCGGGCCGCGGACCAGTACCGGTCCGTCGGTCATTTGGTTCCGGGCCGCACAGAAAAAAAATAATAATAATAATCTATCAACGATCAGAGTCTGAGTGATGTCTTATTTTGCGAAATACAAAACACCAACATCAGTCGGTGCATCTGTGCCTCTTGACACAGGTTAATTCAGTTCAAGACTCATCCTATCTGTAACATCCTATCTTTGTGAAGCGGGATTTTCTGCAGTTACAGCGACCAAAACAAAGCTACGGAGCAGACTGGACATCAGGAGCACACTTCGTGTGTCATTGTCTCCGATTACGCCTAGATGGGACCGGTTTGTTTCGGAGAAACAAGCTCAGGGCTCCCACTAATCCAACACAATGGTGAGTTTTATTTTTATGCTGTTTGTATTTGATCTTATGCCAGTCGTATCATTTTATTTGATCGTATTTACCCCCCACACATTAAAGGCCGGTCCGTGAAAATATGATCTGACATGTAATCGGTCCGTGGCGGAAAAAAGGTTGGGGACCACTGCACTAAATGTTCTATACCTCGCCCCCTACTGGGTTTGTGGTAAACTGCAAATTTGACACTGCAGTTTTCTTTCAACCACAGCTTTCTTCCCAACTCTTCCCTGCAGCCTGAATTCTCCGTTAACAAACACACAAGAACCCAGCTTGTACCGTGCCTGTTTTAACAGACCAAGATGGACCCAAAACAGGGCAGCCAATCAGGTTGCAGTATCATGGTTCAAAGAGGGACATATAGCTGTGACAAAAGCAAGATTAAAATTAAAATTAAGGTGAACTGAATTCGAACTGAAATACGTCTCATAAAGATTAAGTTTATTATTTAATACTTAAACAAAAAAAATCAATTGTAAAAGCCAGGAATGTGCCTCTTCACACTCTTAGTATTTATTAAGATGATAAAATCTTATAAATAAAAGGTTTGCTGGTGAAAATGGAGGGGTCTAGGGTGATCACCAGGGCTATTTCGATCTTGTGGAGCGTAGGAAGGGATCTGCCGCCCCCAAAGTAGAGAGTGACATGAGGAAAAGAAAAACTGCCTGCATCAGGGTCCTGTGCATCTAAAAAGAAGCAGATTTATTTCTCCCACTAATGGGCTCTATGTACAGCTCCACTACTTCCTGGACTTCAGCAGAGTCCTTTGTTTACTTATTTCATTTCTGGACAAGCTAATTAAACCAGGTGTGTTTGGTTGGTTACTGAGGTACTTTTCTTTCTAGCTCTCTTCTGACTTCTGCCTGCTCTCTGCTTCACTCTAAAGTTGATTTTTCTCCTTTCTCTTCAACTGTTCCTCCTCTCTTATACAGTCTTCTTTCTATCAGTGTTCCTCTCTTCTTCCTCTCTCCTCTTCTATCAATCTGACACTATTCTAAAGCAGATACATCATTTAGTCCCATTACCTTCTAAAAATTTTAGAATGTAAAACATGAAAACTTACAATTTAATAGTTGAAATAGAATTTTGTTTCACACACCTATTGGGAGTCAGTTATTTTTAGGAGGGGTTATGTCAGTATAATCTCATTATAGATATTATTATCATCTCACCTGTTTAAATACTAAAAATTATCATCACCACAATATTTATAGCAACAACAAAAAAAAGTAATAAATGAACATTAAACATCTTCATCATTTTCAGATCATGCAGATTTTGTCTCATTCAGTTTTCCTGTTACTGCATTTTTTCATGAGGAACTTTCATTTATCCAAACTGAGTAGTAGAAAAGCAGACCTAAGCCTGGAAGTCTATGCTCATAAATCATAAACCATAAATCAGCAAAACAGCTTATACTAACTCTTCTACTCTTCAACCAACTGTCTGAAAATGTTAACTAATGGTTACTAATAGTTCCTTGTTGATCCCTGAAGAATCACTGTTCCCGATTAGCTCCTTACAAGGAGTTTTCAGTCATTTTGTAACATCAAAGCTCTACACTGGCTTCCCATTGAATACTGCATAAACTTTTAAATTCTGATCCTTACCTTTAGAGCCTTGCATTGACAGGCTCCCTCTTATATAGGCGCAGGTCAGTATCGAGTATATCTGGACTAACAAACCTCTCAAACGACTCCCCATTCCTAAAGGGCGGACCTATTCTTCTGGTTCGATAAGCATGCTTTTTAAGCCAAAGCAAGACTTTGTTTGGGCTAATCTATAAAGTCTGAAACTCACCACTATTTCTGACATTTAAAATTGAAAAACGTTCCAGGATGGGAAGTGAAACGTCTTCAAACTTGGAAAACAAAGACCAGTGGATTGTTTTAAACTTTTTTGGAACGACAATGACCCGGATGACTGAGGATCATCACCAGCACACTCTGTTCCTCATCTTTACGTTTATAGCAGCGCATCCAGCTACTGTGACAGCTGTTTGTGCGTGCAACATGCACACACACTTTTTGTACCCTAATAAGAGAT